TATTTTGAAGCCTCACCTGAACAATACAGTGACTTTTAACGCTATCAATCCAAAAATCTACAATTTGTCCACCAGTTTTCAATATTTCTGCTTTTAGCGCACGATCTGTGAATGGACGTGTCAAACCACGAATGTGGACTATATCTGATTCGGGATGTCTGGAAACGCTGTCATCAGGGATTCTATAAGGAAAAACAATTTCATATCAATCAATCAACATCAATGAACCATAAAGGAAAGAATTCGCAGTGGAGCAAAAATGATACCTTGACGGAGATATTTTCCGCTTCTTTTCCTCTTTGTGTTCTGCTTCAGACTCTTTTGTTACCTCAATATGTCTTTTATGTCGTCGTGCTTCACGTTCTTCTGACTCATCAAGTTCAAGTACCTTCAAAAGCAAATTGGGTACAAAAAAGTTGACCTTTGAAAAACATTTCGAGGAATATTAAAAAATTACAAGCAGTTAGTATTGAGGTTTATCAAAAACTCACGATACATTTAAGCCAAAGCTACAAGTTAAACGATTTTATAAATGCGTAAACACCAGTTTGATCCACAAATCACTAATCTCCTCGTTATACACCGCAACGCCTTTGTGATGGCATCTAAGTATGTACCCACCTCGTCCTTTGTTTCCTTATCATCTGCCTCAGCTTCAGCTTCCACTTCAGCTTCTCCGTAGTCCAATTCCTCCAGATGGTCACCAGCTGCGTTAGCTCCATTCTCTTCAGGATGTTTCGAAGCAGGTGATGCTAGAAATTAAAAATTCAATGAGAAAATTTATATCATGACTTTTACTGACAATAAGATAAAAAGCTACAACTCCAACATATGTGAGGTCCTAACAAGGCGATTTCTACAAAAACCTTGCTAAACAAAAGAATATAATGTATTTAGTAACGATTTATCTCCCATGCCAGATACAAGTTCTTAAAAATTCCTGAAAATTGACAAGAGTACACCAGGATTCACCTCTGGACATATCTTCCTCAACTTTTTCTTCTTTCTGCTCTTCGGTAGATTTCTGTTGCCTAAAATATTCATTTGGTATAAAATCTGGAGGAAAAGACTGAACACATACTCAGACTCATTTTCCTTCGTTTCTACGCTATCCTGTGATGGCTGACTACTTTCATCAACATCTTCCGACAACTTATCCTCAAGCTGCTCGGGTTCAAGTGGTTTTTGTCTAGAAAAGGTTTGATCAATTGGATTAAAAATTTAAAAGAAAAATTGCAAAACCAACTTCTCCATTTTCTTCTCCTCTACTTTGGTTTCCTCCATTGGTTCTTCGCGTTCAGGGCTTTTCTCTTTCTCTTCCTCTTCCTCCTTTTCGGGACTGGACGGAGAACTTTTAGTTGTTTCTTCAGGAGGTGGTGAAGGCGCTTTAGCCTTCTGA